TAACTGTGTGCATAATACAAGTCCTGTGCATTTATTGGTCGGGCTAGGGTTCGTAGATTTTTCAGAATACTTTTCGAAATTTTTTTGCTCCTACCAAACGATGACCAATTGACAATAATGTATGACAGAATTCTGGTGCAAATACTAGTGTTTTGGACAGGTCTTTTTTATAAGCAAATATAGCCACACAAAAAAAATATATAGACAACGACTAAAGCCCCCCGATCTATACACCAAGAAAGATATGTTATAAGCAAATACTTTGTACATGTATCTTAGGAAGTGTGCGATTAAACCAGTATAGGCATGTTCGTACAGCAATAGTCTTCTTATAGTAAAGTCTCGAACCGTAGACATGAAATATAGCTCTTTCTGTTCGTAATAAGCAGAACAAAAACCGCTAAATTGGTGTTCGTACAGTAATGTCTTCAAGCAGAGATTATTTCCTAATTTCGTATTGGACAAACTACTGAATTTAATCAAGGATGCAAATACCTTACCGGCCTATTTTGCAAACACACATCGCGTGAGTACATAAGATGTGTTCATCGCAAATGTCAGGCGAATATCATGAGCACCAGTGGGGTCGTTGGAAGCGGCGCGGGTGAGCATTATGAACATTGGCAGTTTCTTTGAGCTCCCCCCAAAAGCAAAATCACTTGATAACATGGAAATTATTGGTAAATCCATATCTTTCCACGAATGGCTCACGGAAAATGTTGCTCAAACCAATAATTCCAACAATTTCCATGATTTTCGAGAAACCTCGTGAGCCAGAGCACTAGTTTGTAAAATCATGAAAATTATTAGTCAAACCAACGTGATTGGCTCGCGGAAAATATTGGTAAAACCTACAATTCCAATAATTTCCATGAATATCGAGCAATTTCGTGAGCCAGAGCCATAGTTTGGAAAATCATAGAAATTGTTGGTAAAACCAACAATGAATTTCGAGAAATCTCGTACACCAGAGCCATAATTTAGAAAATCATAGAAATTATTCGTAACACCAATATTTTGCTCACGAAAAATATTGGCAAAATCAATAATTTCCATAATTTTCAAGAAACCCCATAAGCCAGAGCCATAGTTCAGAAAATCATGGAAATTACTAATATTGGTGAAACCAATATTTTCCATAATTAATTCAAGGAAAATATTGGTAAAATCAATTACGTCCATAATTTTCGAGAAACACCAGGAGCCAGAAAATATTCGTAAACCCAAGAACCTCCATAATTTCCGAGAAACATCATGAATCAGAGCCATAGTTCGGCAAATCATAGAAATTAATATAAATAGAAATAAAATCAAAATTTTCCATAATAGGCTCACGAAAAATATTAATAAAATCAATAATTTCCATAATTTTCGAGAAACTCCGTAAATATATCTCCTAGTATATAAAATTGTTTATAATAGAAGTATTCATAATTCTATTATATATTTATCTATTTCTTCATATATATATATATATTCTTAATTAAAATACTATTTTCTTAAAAATATATACGTGAAAGAATATTATTCAGTATTTCTTCTAAAATAAAATATTTTCTAATTTATCAAAAATTCAATATCTAATTTTCATATTAATCGATTTATAAAATATCAATGAATCAGATATATGAGGAAGAATCTATTCATGAATCTATTCAATTATCAGCAAAAAAGAATTTTATAAGTAGAAATAGTTCGAGATTTTTTTATGTAAACCTCGAGGATATGCTAAGTATCTTCCTCGTCTTCTCCCGGAAATTTGATCGTGCCTTGGCATACCAGAGGCCATAGGCAGAACATGTACGAGACGGTGAGAGGCCATCTTGCTGCAGGGCGAAGACGTCTATGATTCTGCTTCAATACGAACACCATTGTTCCAAGCTTCTGATTCCGAGGGCTTCTTCTCTAGGTGGCATGCAAGGCTGAACCGATAAGACATCTGTTGAACAGGCGCAAACCAACATCGGTTCGTGAACAGTCAAAGGACGAGAGGTGAATGATTCTTGCAAAGGCTTGCTGGATACATGGTCCGTTAAAAGCCCTTAGCCGATCCAAACACGAAGAAGAAGTGGAAAGGAATTGCACGTTGACATGCTTCTGCATTGCACGGATCCGGCAAAACACTTAACACTCAAGTCTCCAGGTGCCGTCAGGTTGCGAAAGACAATGCGACCCTTCGTTAAATCGAAAGGTGACATCTCGACTGTCACTGCGTCTCCCTCCATGACCTGTTCGACAGTTTGCTTCTTAGAGACACTTAAAGAGTCTGTATGCTAAAAACCCGTAATTGCCCTCAGTGTTCCCATACCCGCCTTGATGTTGTTCATGCGCAGCTTTCCAGCAAGCGTGCACTGCACCTGTCAGTTGCAATGAAAGCCAAGTTTCGGCCAAATGCCCCACGCAGCTTGAACCTCCGCTCCGTTGCTTAAAAGCACCTGACCAGCGGGTTGGTGTCTGACAAGACGAACAGCATGAAACTTCGTTTATCGCCCTCTGGCCTTGAATATGTTGCGGGAATGGACAAGGACCTTGCCTTCCAGCTCTATCACGTTATCCTCGCGCGATGCACAAACTTGTCAGCCACTACAACTGAGCATCTTTCCTCTTGCCTGCACAAACGCAAGGGACATGCAAGCTTCATGGCACAAGCTGATGTTCTGTCCCTCTTCTTTCGTTCCTGAACGATGTTCAATGCCGCCGCTTCGCTATGAATGCACAATGCCAGGCTAACTTTGGGACGCTGCCTTCTGAACTTGGACTTGTTTTTTTGTGTCTTTCCGTCTTCCTTTCGGTCCTCGAAAGCTGACTGTACCAGAACCCTTGCTCTGCATTAACGACATATCATCGAATGGAAGGACCCGGCCAGCTTGTAGGCACGTCACTACATGGACGGCATCTGTCCTCCGACTGCCTTTGCTTGCCTCGAGATACGGGAAGCCACCATCCCGTCTGAGTCTTTGGGAGTCCTGGCGGCGCACTTCAGCGACGCATAGCGAGGCATGGAAAGGCTGGCCTTCCCACATAGATGCTGCTCTGCAAAGTGCGCGAGGAAGCTGCGCTGCTTCCGCTTCGCGGCACGCAGTTAGTGCTGGCCACTGATACCAGGGTGAGCGGCAAGCCTGCAATGCACGGTATCCTGAAAACAAGTTCGCCGAAGCTCCGGAGGCTGAGATGGAGACCAAGAAGAAAGACTATGGGAATCCAAACCTTGATACTTCATCGACTTGGAACTGGAGGCACCATCACAAACAATGCATCAAAACGCTTTCTGAGCTGGAAGCATGGCGTCGTGTCACCTGAGGGATGCAGCTGCAGCCACGACACTGGAGCAGTAAGAAAGTGGTATGAACAGAATCGCGGGTGCTTGAGGAGTCGAAAGGGCGGGTCACTGGGCCAAAGGGTTCGCAGGCTTTCAAAGAGGTATGAGTATATAGCTGGTGCAAGTACGCTTGACCGCTTTGGCCAGAGATGCTTGCACACAGGGGGAGAATGCATGAAGTGAAGATCAACAACTGTACGTTTTAATTGCCTGGTCGGACATCAGTGCTACGCAGGCATGCCACAGCAACTAGTGTTTTTCGCAAAGCTTGGACGGAAACATGGCGCCGTGCAAGAAGGACAACTGCAAGTCTGCTAGACGGCTTCAAAGCAGTGCACCTTGTCGGGTCCAAGGCCCACGACATGGCCACATGTTGGGGAGAAACCGAGCTTGTCTTACATACCTCTTCGCCGCAGCATTGCCTGCACGGACTTCGACTAAGCATCACACCATCGAGGATTGGGACAGATGGGGAGCTCGGCCCCCTCCATGTGCCATTCCTCTCAGCACAGGGCGAGATGTAGATTTGCAAAGAAATTATTTGCACAGAGAAGTGAAGCTAACATGATTGAGTGGAAGAGGCCTGCCCCGGGCGACGTGCTGCCGGGTGAAAACAGTCTACGTCTGCAATCCCACGCGAGCAGAGTAAGCCGAAAACGTCGAAAACGCAAAGTCATTCGCAAGTGGATTTCCACGCCCTAACGTCCTCAAACAAGTCGAGCCGTGTGTTTTTCCTCGTCAACTGCCTTCTGGCTGTGTGAAACATCTATCAAAGCAGCACGTCCGATCCGCAGCCTTTGCTAATCGGGCAAATCCGAAACCTCATGACTAGACTGACACTAAAGCTTACCAAATGAAAGCGTTGCTGACGGACCAAAGGCTTTGTTTAAAGACCATCAGCGCTGTGACAACGTCATAATGTTGCCTCTCGCCTAACACCAAAGGCTACATGCACGAAGCATGTGAATTGATACCATCCGCACTTCCGTGAATTGCTTGCATTTGCTGTCAGCGCCGGGGTCGCGAAGTGAAGCTTACCTGGAACTCGGAGTCAAGCACATCAAGGACGCCCTCGGCATCGGCATTGGCCAAGTGTAGAGCCAGTTCTCATCTTGCCGGAGCTGCTAACAAGCCGCCGCTGCCTGCCTCAGGCAACATGCCTTTCCAGGAGCGCAGAGAAATCAGTTCCAAACTGAGCTCCCACCCCGCTGAGAGCCACAACTTGCTGAGCGCACCGAACAAGTGCTTCGTACCTGAAGCCCGCGCCCAAAGGCATCACGCTGTTCTGGGTCTGGAATGCATCGGTGCAAACTACATTAAGTAGTGCGGTACCTGAAAGATGACTGCGGCGCACTAGAGCCCGAAGGCTTCAAATTTTGTCCTGCCCTACACGATGTCCTGGTCTCCCGGCTTGTCTTTTGCGCACGCAAGACTTCGTGCTGGGTGAATTGCGCGTCCTTCTTTTCTTTGGTCTTGCTGGCCTGGCCTGGATTTGGCATCCTTGTAAATAAAGGCTGTGGGATTCGCGTGGGATGTCGGTTGGCGTGTTAAGTACGAGCTACGGTCGTGGTATTGAAAACTTCTAATCTCCAGGGTTTGCCAACAAAAGCACGTGGAGCGGAGTTGCACAATCGAGTGAGTCTTTGACTTCGCGTCCTTTTGGCAAGCGATTGGGAAACTAGAGTTCGCAGGGTCACGTTTTGCTACAAGCAAACTAAGGGGCTAAATGCACAGTCAGTAGTGACTTGCCTTACAGCATTTCCCTGCAGCGTGCAATTCGCCGATAGCTTGCCACAATGCGAAGCGAAATCGACGGTCGCTCGATTCCCGTTTGGATGTCCCGGCACACCTAGAACATAGGACAAAACTGTCCTGCCGCATTTATGACAGAAAAGGGGCCGCACGACATCTAGACAAAAAACACGGAACTCATCTGAGGAAGGACAGCGGAAAAGGCGACTCGTGCAAAAATGCGCTACAAAGTATTTTGCATGAAATTGCGATCGGAAATTGGTCTCGCGATCCCCTTTCTCAGCTCGACTGAGGCAGCAGCTGCTTCTCACTGAGCTGCCTTCTGTGTGGACCACGCGGCTCTTCTCCATCAGAGTCATCCGGCCCACCTCTCACACCACAGAGAATCGTACATACTCTACGGCAAAAGTTTTCCGAGGACTCTTGCCATCCTGTTCCCGCAAGCCTGTGCACCTGTCAACTGATCCGAGCGGCTGTCATCCGTCCGCTTCGCAATGACCGCGGGGTGCTTCTGACCTCGGAGAGACCGAGACACGGAAACTGCGCGAGGCATTGCTGGAGTCTCGGAGGCACACTGAGAGCCCTCGGAGTCGGCTCCACACCTGCGCATGCAAAACTGTCGAGGCCCCATGTCCTCAGAGAGACTCAGAGACTCTGGCAGCCTGCATCTCGAGGAGCACCTCCGCCTGCTCAGCTGGCAGCTTACATCTCGACTCCAAGTCCACAAGGCGGACACCTTTGTCCGGAGATCCTTGTCGTAGTGCCTTGGCATGGAGCCCGGGCAAGCGGTTCCAAAAAGAGGCTTCAATCGGCTCAGATCCTTTCAGCAGGCTTTGCTGTCAAGCTGTGCTGTCCTCGTCCTGCAGCACCAAGGATGCAGCACTAAGCGTGCAAAATCCAGAATTTCTGACCACGATCGGTCCTGGGGGCGCTGTGGCAGAATGACGGGTGCTGCTCACACGCGCAGAGGCGACAGAGGTCTCACAGGGGCACAATTAAAGAAGCGATCGAGAGCAGGAGATTCTTGCAGCGGATGATGAGCAGACAAGCATCTGCATGTGCATGCATACGAAAGGACAGACAGACAGACAGACAGACAGACAGACAGACAGACAGACGGATGGACAGACGGACGAACGGACGGACGGACAGGAAGACAGATACACCGCAAGACAGAGAGCGAGGCATGGCGGCGGAAAGGCCAGCAAAGTCGGACACAGAGGGAGCGAGCGACACGAAAACAGATTGAAGCATGGGAAACACGCAAGCACATGGTCAAGGCAATGCCTAACCACACCTCGACTGATTTTGTGACTCGACATATGTCTGCTGTTTGGGTCTTTTGCTCGCTGTCCTGCAGACAATAACGACAGACGCAAGCTTACCAGCATAAACAGTGACATGGTCAGGTACCAGGTTATCGGGAATTCGACGGAATTGGATTACTGACAATGGAACAACCGAGTCGAGCAATCTCAACACAATTCACATAAGGAGCCGTTGCTTCGCATCCGTGCGCAATTCATGCTCGGGCTGGCTCACACACATAGGAGCACGCGCTGATGAATTGGATTGATGCGCTGGCAGGTTCCCGAACGGAGGCCGTGACAGTCGCGAACCCGGATTCCCGCATATGCGCGCTGGATTGGTCCACGGGAAACATACGCTTTGAACCCAAAACGCTCAACACAGCCGAATAATCTAAACACCCTTAGCCGCAAACCCTGCAAGCCCAATAAACCCTTGAAAAAGCAGCTTTTCCAAAGCCAAAGGTGAGTGCATAAATTACTGCATGTCATCCGCACGCTCCAACCGCAGAAGGTATGTTGAGAACAAGAGGAGCAAGTAAGAGGGAACCACCCGATGTTGTGGAAAAGGAAGTTTCATCTCGAAAGAAAGCTGAATGTACAAAGCAAAATGCACCGTGTATCTTGGTCGGTGGCGCCGGCACAGATTGCCGGGCGCGTCGTGTTCTGTTGTTTGCTCTGGGCCAACAGCATTCCTCCTGTTTAGTGCTGTTGGTGCAACTCCTGCTGCTAATACTAGGACTCCCGCAATCACAACTTCGTCCCAAAATTGCAAACAAAGCTCTGGGGTTTGACAAGTTTCGACACACCGAACACCGGGCAAGCCACTGCGCGACAACTAGTTTCTGGGGCCACCAAAGCTGGACTAGGGACAATTTTCCAGCAGCAGCTGAAGACCACAGCAGTCAGGCTTGCACGAGGCTCGGCCGCTGGTAACACCCCGGAAGCTTTGCAAGAATTCGCGTCCACTTACCATCGCAGTACAGTTGAATAATGCGTCAAACCAGGAGAAGCGATAGCCTCTGGAGCTGTGGATTGTGGACTGTCGGCTCTTGCCTCTAGCGGCTTTTTGCTGCAAATTTTGAGCGCCAAATTGGTTGGAGCTGCAAAGTAATCCAGCCACATCCAGGCAAACTTTCTCAATAAAACAGAGCTGCTTATGAGACTCCGGAATGAGGTCGAGTGGACTCCTGTCTAAGCAGAGATAGTCACTTTTGAGTGCTGCCCTATGAAAACTAAGTGAAGAACGGCAGCCTGGAAAAGTAGGTCCACATGCAACGACAAAATCAAATCTAAAAAACATCAACCATTAACCATGTAGATGTCAACCGCGCAGGTAACACTTTGAACTGCGCGTTTCAACTGGAAAGATTGCAGCACAAACGGCCAAACAAACCGCAATCCTGAAAGTCCCTCACCTCAAATTCCTGCAACCTGTCCAACCCAGAAACCCTTTCAACCGTCAAAACCCGTAACCCTTAAAAGCCTTTTGTCCTCAGGACCAATAAACCCTGCCGGTCCCTAAGGACAAAAAACCAGACCCTAAAACCGGAAATCGCAAATGCTTAATCGGAATCGGTCGTGCTCGAGACGCGATGCCTGAATGGCGGCTACATCACATGCTTGAACCGACATGCTTGAATATGCTTGAATAAGACGCAACCGCGTTCGTGACGTTAGTCCATTTTCATGCAATAGCAGGCAGGGGCTTCATCGACAAAGGGAGACACCAGTACAAAGACACGAAGGGCGCACAGATCAGGAACTGCGAGAAAAACAGCCAACGCCAAAGGTTGTGGGTGGAGGGGCGCTGCTGGACTTGCAGCTTCTTGTTTTTCTTTCTTACGGAAAGGTGAAGGGAACTGAAGGGTGAAAACCATGCAGACCACGAAATTCTCGCAACCTTAAACCGCCAAAACCCTAAACTCGGACACCCTGAACCTTCAACTCAAACACTACCCCTGTTAGTAGCTAACCACTGCTGCACTGCTGCTGCCAATACTAGTGGTAGTGCCGCCACTGCTACCAGTACTCCCCTCCTCTCCTAATCCCACGCCTACACCTACGCCTATGTTACTGCTGCCGATACTACTACTACTACTACTACTACTACTAATCCTACTACTACATACTACTACTACTACTACTACTACTACTACTGCTACTACTAGTACTACTGCTTCTACTGATACTACTGCTACTGCTGCTACTACTGCTACCACTGCTACTACTGCTACTACTGCTACTACTACTACTACTACTACTACTACGACGACTACTGGGTCCGAATGGTCTTTGCGGTTTTACTTCCATAATGGTGGTATCTCTGGGCCCTCTGGGGTATGTATGAAAGCCAGTCGCAGGTGAGTGAAAGGTCCCGCTTCTTGGAAATCGGCCGAGCCCTGTAGCCTAGTGTAGGGGCCTGAACATTGACGATGAGACTGGGCGCTGGGGTGTATTATGAATACTGCGGCTATTATAACGTAATGCCTAGGGAATACTACCACTGGTTATTCAGAACGACAACTCCAAATGCCGACAAGTGCGCCGATGCCGTTTTTGATGCTTTGCAGCAAGCTGCCCAGTGAACTATCGTCCTGGCGCAGCAGCAAGGGCTG